TCTAAAACCCGATTATGTGCAACAAATTGTTCATCAGTATAGTGGGCTGTTATCGTAATATAATTCACTTTGGCATCGGACGACCACATATCACTTGTCACAGCAACCCATTTAGCATCATTCAATTGCGAAGTTGAACACCCACTTCTTCACACTGTTTTTTTATCACAACATCTCGAAAATAATTACGTGTTGGTATCATGTACGAGGGTTCAACCTCATTCATCAATTCTTTCAGCGCTTTACTTCTTTCAACGAAACTAATGGGTAATAAATCTCGAATAATAAAGTTTGATAATATTCGAGTCAGTTGCAACGAACGTTCACTATTCAATGGTAATAAACTGCCATCTCTTCGTGCACGTTTACTGTGGTTATTTTTCACAAGCGAATATTCAGGTAGATGAGCGACGGATAGATGAAATAGCATCGATGTTGTTGAATTTGAATTATTATCCATTGAACGCTGACATAGCACACATTCTACTCCACCTCCATTTTTCTCGGTAAAATAATTCCATACATACAAGCTTGAATATTCTTCTCTTTCTCTTTCATCTTGCAACAGGTCTATTATATTATGTAATGAAGAAAAGAAGAAAAAGAAACAACTACTGGATAGATATGTGAACAGAAGAAAAAGAAAGAGGAAGAACCCATGAGGTCATTTTGACTGTTCTATAAAATAAAAAGTTGCAAATGTAAACTGATATATAGTTAAAGAAAGAGACAGATTGACATGATTCATTTTCTAGCACGGTTAGATAAAAAAAACATGTACACAAAATACATGCACGCTTGATACATACAAAAAGAAAGTGTACGACTAGAAAGAAGAAAATCATATGAAAAAAAGTCGCTCTTGAAACGCACAGTTTTATTAGATGTTATATATATTTTTAAACTACAAATAATATGAAACAGCGTTCGCGAAAGTTTGGCGGATACCATTTTTGTTTGAAATTTTTCGACTCTTTTAGTAAAACTCGCTCTTATGGTCCACGGCAACGCTCTCATTGGCGCCATTAAGTGCCAATGACTACGCGATCTGAAACGTAGGGTATCATATATAGCAAAAATTCAGTGAAATTAAACTATTTCCTGAGCTGTAAATATTAAAATCGAATTCAGCATGCTCTAGCGCGTAAAATAAGCCCCAAAACGTCAATAAACGCGCGTTTCCGACGCGCGCATACCCGTGGGAACGGCGCCAGACACGAAAGATAATGATTTATTAGTTAATTTTCTTTAAACATGGGCCTCTGATTCACTAAAACACTGAGTTGACCCATTAGTGAACATTTAAGCAGAAAACGCCTTAAAAAAGCGATAAGAAAGTTATACTTATACTTTAAGAACGGTATATTTAATTTCGCACACGCCTTCCAATTGCTGGGATCCTTTTGTCAGCCTCGGTTACATGATGCTTTACTCGGACTTTTCTTCGAGAACATGATGTAATTAACTTTCGGCATAGAAATATCTTTGTGCACGTCAGGAAGAGGTTTTAATAGAGACCCTGGCTCAGGTTAGAAAAGAAGTATTACTTTGTTAGCAAACTAGTCAAATCATAAACGAACCTCAAACTTAATATGAATTACAGTAGTTTTAAGCTACTAGAATTCACTCACTCATCCGTCCTAAG